CCTGCACGGCCTTCCCAGTTCTTTACCTGCCTCGTCATCCTCTTTGCCTGTGAAGTAGCTGCGGGCATCTGGGGCTTTGTCAACAAAGACCAGGTGAGCCTGAGACCACAGCAGTGGGCCCGTCCCTGCCGAGCTGGGGGTGGGGAGGGCCTGCTGCTCAGGTTGTGGGGAAGGGGTTGGGCCTACCCTTGGATTGCAGGGTGCTCTTTGGGGCACCTTCTCAGGGGAGCCAGGAGAACATGTGCCCCCTCCCCCGGGATGGTCCCTGCGGTGGCTGTGACCTCACCCCTTCCGCACACCCCACCCCCAGATCGCCAAGGACGTGAAGCAGTTCTATGACCAGGCTTTGCAGCAGGCCGTGGTGGACGATGACGCCAACAACGCCAAGGCCGTGGTCAAGACCTTCCATGAGACGGTGCGGGAGGAGCTGCTGGGGGGTGGGGGGCGGTCCTCTTGGGTAAGGCCTGGCTGGGGTGGAGCCTGGCCCCAGCGCAGACCTCAGAAGCAGGAGGGTGCTGCAACCTCGCGGGCTGCAGAGCACTCTCTGGGGTGCCCCGGGGGGGTGTTCTCAGGGACCCACTGTGAGCCAGGTGAGCCCATTGGGCCAGGGTGTGGTGGGAGGAAGGGGAAGAGAGGAGCCCCCGGCTCTGTTCTCTCCCTGGAACCTCCCAGCTCCTGATCCTGGGCCAGGCCAGGGCGTCTCCCCAGGCCTCAGCTTCCCCAGGCTGTGTGTCCCTGGCCATCTACCCACGGGTCGCCTGCGCACAAGGGCGTGGGGCTGACCCGGGCGTCTTGGTGCCTGCAGCTCAACTGCTGTGGCTCCAGCACGCTGTCCGCGCTGACCACGTCCATTCTGAAGAACAACCTGTGTCCCTCGGGCAGCTCCGTCATCAGCAACTTCTTCAAGGTACACGGGGCTGGCCGGGTCCCGGGATACACCAGGCTGCCTGGGGGCTCCGGTGGGCGCTGGCAGGCTGGGCCCCTGGGAGTGGCGGGTCTCTGCCCGCCTCCCGGGCCAGCACCATCCGCGTGCGGCTCAGCGACCTGAGCAGAAGACCACGCACCCGCCACGTCCCACCCCGAGTCTGTTTTAAAAGGGGTGTGAGATAACTGGGCAGAGACCAGGCGCTGGTCACACCTCTTCTGAGGGACCAAGCCTCCCCATGCTCTTTCCTCAACGAGCCCGTGCTGCGGGACTGTGGGGACCTGAGGGCCTGCGCCCCTGACCGTCCACTGGCTGTCCCCCCCCCCCCCCCCCCCAGGAGGACTGCCACCAGAAGATCGATGACCTCTTCTCGGGGAAGCTGTACCTCATCGGCATTGCGGCCATCGTGGTTGCTGTGATCATGGTGAGTGCGCGGGCCGGGCATCTGCCCAGGGCACCCGCACAGGGCTGCGGGTGCTGACAGTCCCCCCCCACCTGCCCCGCAGATCTTCGAGATGATCCTGAGCATGGTGCTGTGCTGCGGCATCCGGAACAGCTCCGTGTACTGAGCGGACGCAGCCGCTGGCGCTGTGGGGCAGACCACTGGGGACCCTGCAGCGCCCCCGGAGTGACCGGACGTTTCTGAGGAGGGCCGTCACCGCCCGTGTATATAACTTCTCCGGCATCACTCTGCTACACTTATTAGCCTTTTTACTTCTGAGGTTTCGTTTTTGTCCTGAAGTTCCCCGTTTCCCTTCGGGGCTGAAGTCACCTATAGACGGCATGGGAGCGGGCCTTGGGGACGGCGAGGCGGGGGCCCCCCTGCTTTGGGGCCGAGGGGCTCTGCCTGCTCAGCCAGGCCTCTGCTGGGGGCCCTGCGGCCCACCCACCTGCCTCCCGGGCTGCGCGGCTCCTGCCTTTTTTAACCCCCGCTCCTCCCCCGCCGCCTGTCTAGAGCCGGTCCGCAGCAGCCTTACGCCTTCAGCGCACCTGTCCTTTCTAACGCGTCACCTGCCACTGTAATTACACCTCCAAGTCACTCAATAAAGAAGGAGAATCCGGGCATGCTAACAACAGTCCCTGTGCCTGCGGCGTCCGAGCCTGGGGCCGCTGCAGGCGCAGAGGGGCCGGCAGGGCTGAGGCTGGCTCTGCGGACCTTGCGGGGCGTGCTGGGCCCCCAAGAGCACTCCACATGGCAGGTGCCCCCGTGCCCCCTCGGCAACCTCCACCCAGCCTCACTGCCCCACGGAGTCCTTGGGCACCGCCGCCCAGAGGGGCGGAGCCGGGGGTAGGGGGTGCTTGAGGTGGGGGCCTGCAAGACTCCCCTTCCTCCTGGGGCCGGCTCTGCGGAGGGCGGACACCGGCCCCTTCCGCGCCCCGGACTCTCCCGGCCGGTCGCGGTGCTGGTCAGCTTTCCTGGACAGCTGGGTAGCTCCCGGCCCGAGCCACAACTTGAGAGGCCCGGAGAGGCGGGTCTGAGCCCCTGCCAGCCGGACCCCGGGGTGGACCCCGGCCCGGCCGCCCCGCCAACGCTGGGGGGTACCCTGGGCGCGGGCACGGACCTGGTCTGTGCCGAACCGACCCCGTGAGGCCGCAAGCGCCCGGCTGGGGTCGGGCTCGGGGTTCCCAGCGGCCTCCCCTGGGGCTCGTGTTGGAAACGAGCCCCAGCCCCGCATTTGGGGTCATCGGGTCTGTGCAGGGTCCATCCTCCCGCCACGCCTCTCCGCGTGTGTGCCGCATGGGTCGCTGGGAGAACACGGCGACCCCGGGGCCCCCTCCCAGGTGCTTCCCCCGTGGACCCTGGAGCGTCCCGGCCACGCGGCAGAGCGCAGCCGCAGGGTGGGGGTGGGGGGTGCTGCTGGCCTGGGGGCCCCTGTGGGTCCCGACCACGCCTGGGGCCGGCAGGGTGGACGCGGCGGGCAGGCGAGGCGAGGCCGCCCCGAGGCTGAGCGCAGCAGCCGAAACCACGTCCCACCCGCCACCCCCGACCCACTAGGGGCGCCGTCGCGCGCTTCCGCCCGCACCGGAAGCACTCGGCAACGGCGCCGAGCGCGACGGTGCACTTCCGGCCTGAGGAGGCCGCTGTGCTCGCGATTTCCAGCAGGTGGCGCTGGGGGCCCGGGAACGCGGCGCTGGCCGTTAGCCCTCGAGCATTCTGGGAGTCGCCGTGCTACCTTTTCCTCCTCCCTCTTTTCTCTACTCAATTCCGGCTCTTAGCGGGAAGGAGAGCCGTCGTTTCCGGGGAGGAAGGGCTCCGAAGAAAAGCGAGGACGCATGCGCAGGGGCCACGCCACCCAACGGGCCTTGGGAGTGGCGCCCCACTGCCTTGTGGGAGATGTAGTTCTCCAGGTGCGGACGCCTCGGGCCTGGGCCGGCGGAGGACTCGGTTTCCCAGAAGGTGGAGCGCAGCTCAAGATGGAGCCGGCCAGGCCGCGCGGGTCCGGTAGGTTTGCGGTGAGGGAGTTCGGCGCTGACTAGCGGCCGCGTCGCTGTCCGCAGCCTTGCCCAGCCCGGAGCCGCCCCCGTAGTGCTTCGCGTCTCCGGCCCCTCGCGGGCTGGGCCCTGGGACCCCGGGCTTGTGAAGCCCGGACCCTGTCCGGCCCAGGCCCCCGACGGAGCGGAGGAAGCCGGGGGTGCGCGTCCGAGCGCTCCCGCGGGGAAGCCAGTGGTTCCGCCTGCGGGGACGGGGCTCCGGCCGCCGAGCTCCCGAAGTTCGCGGAGAGCCCCCGGAAACGCTCCCGATGGCTCATCCTGGCGCGCTGCCCCCTTGTCCCCCCGGCGCGCCCCCGCTCCGGCTGCTGCTCCTAGTCGCGGTGGCGTTCCCGGCGGTGCGCACCGTAGGGGCGCGACTTCGGCGAGCAGGAGGCTGGCTGCAGCTCCGGCTTTGCTCGCGGCGTGCGGTGCGGCCGGCCCATTGTCTCTCCCTCCCTAGAACACGTGGCGGTGCTCCCGTTCCCTCTGGAGGTGCTCCCTCACTGGGGGACTCGCGACCCAGAGCACTGGCGGTCTCGTCTGTGTTTGATCAGCTGCGGGGCACCCGCGGCCGCGCCTGGCCCGCCTGCCGGGTCCTTCGTGGGCGCTCCGCAGCGGGTCACCCTGGGCCAGGGTGGCTTGGTGGATGGATGGGTGAGGCCTGGCTGTCCCCCGAGCCCGGAAATACAAGGTGCAAGGTGCCCGCTTGGTCACACTTGGGCCACTAAGCGAGCGTTGGTCCCACTTCTGTGCTCTGCTGGGAGAGGGGAAGTGCCACGGGAGGTTGCTGGAGGGCCTGCCTCTGCCCACCAAGGGTGCCCCGGGTGGCCACTGACACCCCGCTTCGCTGTGGGCTTGACCCTCAGACCCCAAGGACCCGGCTGCGGACGCCCATGGAACTCCTGGGGCCTCTCCCAGCCATCAGGAGCCGCCCTCCTTGCCTTGGACCAGGCCCGTGGCCCAGTCTTTGTGCAGTCCTTGCGGTGTGCCACGCGCCACGCTGAGCGGTTAGTGAGGAGCCTACCTGCTTGAGGGGGCTGGCGGCGCGGAGCACAGGCTGCTGTTGTCCGTGGGCAAGCCCTGGTGGCTGCCTCTTGCCACATCCCCCCCCCCCCCAGCAGGTCCCCAGATGGGGCTTCGAGCCTGGAACGAAGCCGTCGTTACAAAGGATCTGCTCTGGGCCTGGCCTCTGTCCGGGCTTCATAAACCCAGGACCACCCGTTGGGGTTGTGGCACCAGTTCTGCACCTTTGCAGCCTGATGTGATGGTTGGCTTTTCCCACCCCAGCCCGCTACAGCTGAGCCGCTGGACGCGCCGGGACCGAGGCCACCACCACTCTGCAGCACTTGCCACCGGCACTCCAGTGTCCGCACGGACCGCGTCAGACAAGGGAGGTGAGAGGGCTTTCAGGGGACGGGCGTCTCCGTCCCTTGCTCTGCAGGACGTAGTTCTTCCTGTGGATCCCACCGCCGGCCCAAGGACAGTGGGTCTACAGGAGGGACCTGTCGTGAGTGCCCACGAGCCTCAGACACGAACTTCTTGTGTGGTCTGGTCTGGGTGTGGTGTGCCCTGGGACACATGTCTGGAAGAGACATGTCAGGAGAGCCCCTGGAAGCCCAGCAAGGGACAGAGATCGACGCTCTGCCTGCGGACACCACGTCTCTCAGCGACTCAGACTCTGATGTCAGCCTGCCTGGCGGTGCTGAGATGGAAGCTCTGTCCCCGGGGGTGCTACCTGGCGAGGCCCAGGGGGACTCAGACCCCGATGCGTCCTCTTTGTCTGCGAGGGGCCTCCGCACGGCCGCGGTGCAGCCATTCCAGCTGAGGGGCACGAGCTCTACCTTCTCCTGGCGCAGCCGCAACATCTTTGACTGCCTGGAGGGCACAGGCAGGCAGATGCTGCCCTCTGTGGCGCAGACTGGCCCGGGTGGCGAGGGGGGCTTCCCACGGCCGCCGGCACCCGCAAGCCGGCCTCCAGGAGAGGACCCGGGCAGGCCCAGTCAGAGCCCTGCCCCTCCGAGGTTGCCCCCAGTCCCTGACTATGTGGCCCACCCTGAGCGCTGGACCAAGTACAGCCTGGAAAACGTGGCCGAGGTCAGCGAGCAGAGCAACCGGGCTGCTGCTCTGGCCTTCCTGGGCTCCCCGAGCCTGGCTGCCCCCAGCGACCGTGTGTCCTCTTTCAACCAGGATGCCTCTAGCTGTGGGGAGGGAAGAGTCGTCTTCACCAAACCCGCCCGAGCTGGGGAGGCCAGGCCTGAGAGGAAGAGGGCCCTGAAGAAGGCAGGAGGGCCTGGGAACCCGGGCGCCCCAGGGGGCGAGGGCCCCGTGGAGCTGGCCCACCTGGCCGGGCCTGGGAGCCCGGAGGCTGAGGACTGGAGCAGCCCCCAGGGGGGCCTTCAGGAAGTGGGCGTGCCGCAGGGGGCCGCCCACCCCAGCTCGGCGGCCGGGGCCCCCGTGGCGGAGACCGTTGGCTTCCATGGCAGCAGGAAGCGGAACAGAGACCACTTCCGGAGCAAGCGCAGCAGCCCTGAGGCCGCAGGCGCCGAGATCTGAGAGAAGAGACCGGACAGGCTGGCGGAGGGAGGCAGCTAGGGCCACTGGCCGCCTGGGGTGGAGTGGGGCCTGGGGCTCCAGCCCCTCGGGAAGGGAGCCAGCGGGCTGCCAGGAGGAGGCGCCGGCATCCTGGGCTGGAGCTCCGGGTAGTGGTGTCTGAAGCGGTGCTTGCCGGTGGACGGCAGAAACCCTGGCCCGCCGAGTCCCCCTGGGGCACGAGTAAAGGCTTCAGACATTCCTTCCGCTTCGGGCCTTGTGTAGGTTCTCAGGTCAGGACCAGCATGGCTGGGCCTTGTTTGCCCCCCCGCCACCCCCACATGCCCTGTTCTCTCGTTCGATCCTCCCCTACCTAGTGTCCAGGGGACGTGGAGGCTTTTTAAATCGACACCCGGGTCCAGAGTAGGAGGTGAAGAAGGCCCTGGGCACCTCCAGGGGTGAGCTCGATCCCAGCTGGCCAGCCTCTACCCCCAGCCGGGCTAGGGCAAGGAATCTTGAGGAAATGAGTCCCTAGGAGGCCAGCATGTGAGTGGGGGCAGGGCCCCTCCCTAGCCTTGGCCACTCTTGCCCCTTGGCTCTGGCCCGCCCAGGGCGAGTGTGATGATGGCCAGTGTCCTGGGACCACATCACCAGAGCCACTGAGCTGTGGGCAGGGGCGCTGCTGGTATGGCTGGGCCCAGCGGCGGGGGAAGGAGCACAGACCCCTGAGGGCGTCGGGTGGCAGACCGGGACAAGTGTGTCCCCTCTGTGCCTGGTGGCAGGACGTAGCAGAGACTGGCTGGTCTGCTGTCCCAGCCCCAGGCCTCGGAGGAAAGGAGGGGACCAATGCGGCTAGCCACTCACCCTAGCTAGGGCCAGCCCGGGAGCCTGGACCCCCATCCCACGGGCAGGTAAACCCTCTCCCCACCCCGTAGCCTTTACTGACTCGGGTGGGTGTGTTCTCTTAGGAGGAAGCAGCCGTGGGGACTGCTGGGGCAGGTGGGTCCCCCTGGGGCCGTGGCCTAGGCCGGACATAGTCCAGGGCTTGCTGTGTGAGCACGTGAGGGTGTGTGGGATTCGGGGCCAACACACAGAGTCAAGACTCCCTCCAGGTCCAAAAAGGCAAGGGCTTCCAGCCGCTAGTGTTTCCAAGAAATGAGTTTTAACAGGTGATACGAGTTGGGTACGAGATAGGTGTGGACCCTGTATTGTGGCCCACCAGACCAGCCCGGATGGTTGTGGATGGGGCCCCCGGGGCTCCCCCAGTCTGGGAGAGGGCCCGCCGTCCAGCCCCGTGCTTCCACGTGGAGAGCGGTCCCGGGCAAGGAGCCAGGCAGGGCGAGGAGTGGCTGCTTCTGACAAGGCCACGAGAGCCAGATCCCACTGAGGGCTCTAGTGGAGGCGGGGGAAGTTCGGTGTGTCTCTGGGGCCTGGGGTGGCCTGCCTGCCCATCGTGATCGGGGCGCTGGGAGGTGGGCCCCGTGTGCAGCTGCTCCGAGTGGCTCAGGTGTCTGAGAGCCGCTGGCCGGCCTCTGGGCACTCGCTGCTGTCTGCAGCCCCTTGGTGGTCAGCATCGGCTTGCTGGCGTCCACCTTTAGAGATCTGGGAGTCTGCTGAGAAAGGAAGACCCCTCAGCTTCTGGGTGTCCGGTGGGGTCGGCCCAGGGAAGGGAGAGGGCTCACGCACACCACACGAGCACAGGAGCCGGCGAGCCTGGCCGGGAGGGGGCTGGGGGTGTTGTGGAGGGCAGCCGCCAGGCGGAGCCTCCAGAGTCCATGTGGCCACACTCTCGTGCCTGGCTGAGCTGGCGGCTTCGGCAGAGGGCTCCTGCCCTGCCCTGAAGACTGTTGCCAGTCAAGGGCCATCAGCGGCCTGGGCCAGTCCCCTCCCAGGACAGGAAGGCAGATAACGGGGCACCGTGTGACAGTCCTCCACCTGTGGCCCCGGCGGCCTGCACCCGTCTTCCCCGGACACACACTTACTCCAGTTGGCGCCGCTCTGGGCTATGGAGGACAGGAGCACCGTGCAGTAGTCAACCTGGGGGACGGAGAGGCGTCTGGGGCAGCCCGTGGGCCCTGCCACCCCGTGGGCCTCCCCTCCCCTAGCTGTGGGAACAAGCGTGAGGGCAGGGTTCCAGGTGTGCAGAGTGGACAGTGAGGGGGTCTGAAGGACAGGATCCCCTCCAGGGAGGGCACACTGTCCCCAAAGTCCCCTATGGAGGCAGGTACAGGGACTGTGCCCCCCCCCCGGGGCCTTGCCCTGCCCTGCCTGGGTGCTGGGGTGTAGGGATGACGGTGAGGGTCCCCATCAGAAGAGCGTGAGGCCCAGCTGCTTACCTGGGATTCCAAGCGCTTGATGCGCCTTTCTTGCTCCCTCAGCCCCCCGAGGTGCTGGGCTACAGAGTCCACCCTGCGACAGAAGCCGGTGTGCACGGGGCGCCCCACAGCGGGGCGACCTCCCCGTCCTCCCGTCCCCAACCACCCAGGCCTTTTGAGGAGGTTTGGGGTCACGGAGGCCTCGCCGGGTGGGGTGGTCCGCCCTTTGCCAGCATCCCCACATCTGGGTGTGGGGCCCTCCTGCCTTCCCTGGGCTCTCGAGGGGGCTGAGCGGCTGCCAGCGAGAGCAGGGGTCGCTGGCAGGTGGGAGCTGTGGCCCTGAAGGGACTGTTGGGATGGAGCATTTTGGGGGGCCCAGAGCAAGGAGGACCCCACCTTTATCCGCCCCTCTGCCCCTCTTAGCTTCAGCCTCCCCAGCTCAGAGCTGTGACTGGCAGGCGTGGGCCACTCCGGCTCTTGGTGACAGAGGTCCCGGAGGGGCTCTTAAGACCTCTGGCTGCCTGAGGGGGACAGGGCCTTGGGTCTCCAGGTGGGGGTGGGGGGCTCGGGGCGCCCGCGCACCTGTGGGCGGTTTTTCGCAGCACCTCCTCCTTGCTGCCCTTCCTTTGCTTCTCCAGCTTGCCCAGGTAGTTCTCCTTCTGCACCGCCTCCCATGTGACCATCTTCTGGTCCAGGGGCTCCGGCAGGTCTCTCCCTGGGAAGGCCGGACGGCCACAGGCTCGGCTGCAGCCAGGGGGGCCGCGGGGCCAGGGGAGCCCGGCCCCCCCCCATCACTGCCCACAGGCCCAGGGTGTGAGGGGGAGGAAGGTGATGGGCTCAGCCTGTGCTGGCTGTCCCGGCCCGGATGGGGGCTCCGCGCGCCTGCACGTGGCGCGGGGCCTCACCCAGGTGTGCCTGCTTCTGCGCGGCCCCCTTCCTGAGCAGCCTCTTGAGCAGCAGGCTCAGGTGGCTGAGGACGATGAAGGGCGGCGCCAGGGCAGGGCGCTGGTGGTACTCCACGATGAGGTGGTAGCGCTGGAACTTCCAGAACGTGTCCGCGTTGCCCTGCACCACCTGGAACGTGTAGCTGTGGGGCCGGCGTGTGGGCGCGGAGCGCGTGCGGCCCTGGATCCTCTGCTCGGGCCCCTGCCCAGCCCCACGCCACTCCCGGGGGCCCCCGCCCTCGTCTCCCGCGATCGTGCCCGCTCCCGCGTTTCTCTGTGTGGGGTGCGCACGTGGGGTCTCCGCCGCCCCCTCTGCTCTCCTGGCTGCAGACCTGCCCCCGGAGCCTCCTTCCCCCGCGCCTGTCCTTCACTGCAGCCCCAGGTCTGCGGCGCTGGGCCCTGGGCGCCCCCCAGCCCTGCGTGCAGGGGGCACAGGGATCAGGCCACCTGAACATGGCGATCAGCAGGTTCATGAGCAGCACGTTGGTGACGAGCAGGAAGGTGACCAGCAGGAGGATGACCAGCCAGTTGGCGTAGAGGTTGGGGCAGGAGGGAGAGCCCTCCTCTAGCAGGGGGTGCAGCGAGCAGTTCACGCGGGCTTCTGAAACACAAGCGGCACGGCGGGGGCCGCCTGGACCCACAGCCTCCGGCCTTGAGAGCTTCGTCCTCGCATGGAGCCCGCCCGGGTGGAGGGTGCTGGCGGGGGGCCAGCTAGCCTGCTGGCCCAGGGTTAGCTGGCGGAGCACTGAGAGTTCCTGCATAGGACACTGGTCCCACTCCCCCACCTCCTCCTGACTGATCGCAGCCAGGGCCCGGGCTCTGGGGGCAGAGCCAAGGCCAACTGGGGGATGGGGCACAGCAGACCCAAGTTTGTGCTGGTAGATGTGTGCGTCCCCCCCCACCAACACCACCGGGGCTCAGAGCTGGTGTGGAGAGAGCTAGCCAAGGTGAGGGGTGATTGGTCTTCCCTGCAGGACTTGTCAGGGCCTTCGTAACACGGAGGCCTGTCCCATGGCACCCAGCTGGGGAGGCAAGTCTGCACCATCTCCATACCTCGTCTGGCTGCACCTTCCTTGATCCTGATTGCCACAGGCAGTGTGGACACAGCACCTCTGGGCCATGCCAGCTCACAGAACGTTCTCAGGGCAGTGGGAGTGAGTGTGTGATCTGGGAGCAGGCAGGCACGCCCCGGGGGGCCCGAGGGTCACAGCGCCAGCCCCTCACCAGCCAGCACCCCGCACTCATGGGACAGGAGGCACGGGAGGAAGGAGCAAAGCGTGAGTGCACAGGCCACGGCTGCCCAGGGTGCTTGCCACATCTTCCTTGGGAGGGGGCTTGTGGCCTTGTATGTGCACGTGCCCCGTGGCCGTGTGGGTGCTGCCCACGCCTGCACGCCGGACTGTTTCCACAGCTGCGCCTCTGGCTCCGTGCTGTGTGTCCCCGGTCTCTGTCTACGTGTGTGTCCCTGTGTCCCCACACTGTACGCACGTGTCGGGCTGGTGGGCCTATCTTCACGTGTCTGTGGCTCCCTCTCTGGGGGGGCTGTCTCCCAATTTCCCGAGTGAGTTTTTGTGCCAGGCCACGCCAGTGAGCTGCTGAGTGTGCAGAGGGGCGTAGCCAAGCAGCCTCCTGCCAGCCCTGGCCCACAGGCCTGCTGGGGGCTGAGTCCCACCCCTTGTCTCTCCCCCGGGCAACCAGGCTCCGAAGCAGTGACTCCCATGTCTCCCAAAGGTGCCACCAGGCCAGGATGGAAATTAGATTGTCCCTGGGGGTGTGCCTGGGTGGCTCAGTGGGTTAAAGCCTCTGCCTTCGGCTCGGGTCATGATCTCAGGGTCCTGGGATCGAGCCCCGCATCGGGCTCTCTGCTCAGCGGGGAGCCTGCTTCCTCCTCTCTCCCTCCTGCCTCTCTGCCTGCCTGTGATCTCCGTCTGTCAAATCAATAAATAAATAATCTTAAATTGTCCCCGGGCTGAAGCTAGACTGAAGTCAGCCCTGGGGCTTCCTCCTGGTGCGGGGGGCTGGGATGGGGTGTGGCAGGGCAGGGGGCACTCTGGATCCCAGGCCCAAAGGCTACATGTTAGAGACTCCGTTTTCCCACCACCGCCTCCCTCCCCGTGGTGGGGTTACCCAGAGGCCCGAGCAGACGGGAAGCCCAGCCCCAGGAGGGGAAGGGTCCTGGCTGGGACCCCTCGGGAAGGCCTGCGCTCCATCTGCCCTCCCCAGGTAGCCCTGGGCTCCTGGGGAACTGGGGTCGTGACCCCACCATACACCACTGATCCCCAACACCAGCGTGAAGATGGGGCCCTCCGAGAGACCTAGTGTCCCCTGCCTCCCAAGGGCCCCACAAGACAGGGTGGCCAGGGGCCATGCGGGGAGGGAGGCAGGGTCTGCTGAACCTAAGGGACTGGAACACTGCGGCTGAGCAAACACCGAGGGGTCACGGGGGCAGGCCACACAGACCCGGGACATGGGCCTCCGGCATACCCCACTTAGCCGATTTCCATGGCTACAGCGCTCCTCCCCATCCTGGCGGCCCGTGTGCGCGTCACCCATGCTCTCACCCCATTGACAAATCGGTGACCGCGCCTCAGTAGCTTCAGGGCTCGGGGTCAGGCCTCGGACCTGGTGCGCGCGTGACTGCTCTGGGGCCCTCCGCGGGCCCTCACACGGGCCCCTGGCGCTGGCTCACCTTCCTTGAGGGGCCGGTTCCCTCCCCACCAGATTCCAGCCACCTTTGGGGCCTGCACAGGTGTCCCTGTCCCCCACGCCAGGGCTTCCCTGAACCTGTCCCCACCCGGCACCCCATGGAGGAGCAGCTCCCTCTCCCACACTACCCACTGTCCTGGGAAGTTCTTGGAACCTCCAACAAGGGCCAGCTGGGGACACCTGCGCCCTCTGATGGGCCGCACACACCTGACAGTAGGTGAGGCGCACGGGGCCGTGTCCCCAGGAGCGGCAAGGACACTGTCAGGAACGGCCTCATGGCAGAGGGGCCTTGCCAGAAGGCGGGCCCAGGACCCAGCATGGGGCCTCTGGAGGATGGGTGGGGGACAGAGAGGCCCGCTATCCAGCAGGGCCGCCCGGGGCGGGTAGAGGCGCCAGTGCATGGACCAGCCCGTCATGGTTAGGGATGGACTGGGATGGGCCTGCCCACTTTGCAGCCTCCTCGCACCTCAGTTCCTAGCCTGGTGCCCCAAGTCTCGCGTCCCTGTGACCAACAGAAATCTGCCTAGAGCTGCCCGTGGGCTGTGGGGCCTGGGGGCCAGCCTCAGGGACTCCCCCCATCTCAGCTAATTCCTAGCTAGGGCCTCATGTGACCCTGAAAGGCCCCTCTCAAGGGCCCCACGTCCAGGGTGTTCTAAAAGGAGACTTGGTAAACCAGACCCCATCTGGCTGCACCCCAAAGCGGGGGTGTCCTTGCAGCTGGCTCAGAGGCGCTGCCCCCTCCCCCAGGCTGTGTGCTAACCATCGATCTCGTCCAGCGGGATTTGCCCGAAGATCTGCAGGTAGGGCCGGTAGAACACGCGGCGGAAGACCCACTCCAGGCGCCCGTCGTGGGGGTGCAGCAGCGCCTGCGTGGTCACGCCGTAGGCCACAAGCCACACGCTCAGGAAGAAGAGGAAGAAAAAGACGTCCTTCATCTCCGGGGGGAAGAGCGGAGAGGGTTAGTGGTCACCCACTGGGGCTTCACTCTCAGCTGCCCCGGGAGCCAGGGCAGGCTCAGGTACGGCCAGGGGCTCACCATGCGCTCCACGATGATGATCTTGGGGCCCAGCTGCTTGTGGACGGCAAAGATGTGGATGAGTCGGAGCGTGAACACCATGAAGTCGACGGCCAGGACCGTGCGGCCCGCCTCGAACATCGAGGGCACCATCCTGGGGGAGGGGGTTGGGTTGGAAGGGCTTCTAGTGCCCAGAGAGAGGAAGGAGCTTCCTCCAGGACACACAGCACGGGTACCAGGGACAAGCCGGAACTTCTGAGCCCTTTCCTGGTTTCAACCTAACAGGTGACCTTGCCCACTGTCCCAACCGAGGTGGCTCGTTAGGCCTCTGAGCCCCACAGACCTGCAGGTGACACCAACAATGAACAGAAAGATGGCCACCATGTCACACTTGTTCCAGTTATCTTCCACGTAGAGCGTGAACTTTTTCACCAGATGTGTGTCCTCGTCTGAGAAGAATCCCTGGCAGAGGGGCAGACCGTCCACTGATGGCTCACTGGAGACCGCCCTGCCCAGCCCAGGCTGGGGTTGCTGGGGATCAGGGCTCAGCCTGGAGCTGGGACCACCACTAACCTGCCGGATCTCTTCCAGCACCAGAGTAAAGACCCAGAAGTACAGGGTGACCTCAGGCCCAGACGGCCCCTGAGGAGGCGGCCTGAAGTCGACCAGCAGGACGTAGGCGAACAGGAAGAGGAATGCAAAGTACATGACCACGTTCCCCAGGAACACGGTCACAGGCGCGCCCCAAAACATGCGCCAGCGAGTGAGCAGGAAGGCAGCACGGGGTCCTGGGTCTCCCTGAGCCCTTGGTGTCTCGGCCAGCTCCTCCGGCCTGCAGCACAGGAAGACCACAGCCGGCGGTGAGGCAGGCGGCCAGGTGGCCCACGGAGTGAGTGCCGCCCCCGCCAGCCCGCCCCGCAGCCCTTACCCGCTGCCCGGGCTGCAGAGCAGGCTCTTCTCCGTGTCCAGGCTGTCCAGCTCCTGGAGGCCCTCGGGGCCCGTCCTCAGCGGGGCCTCCTCACTGCAATCACAGGGGACCCTCAGGGCCGGCGGCAAGGGCACCAGCCAGCAAAGGCAGTGCTGAATGCACTGAGAAGGTCTGCACACAGCAGGACCCACAAAGACGCGGGGAGCTGTGGAGATGCGGTACCCTCAAAGCCTACCCCCCACCACCAGTGGCTGGCAAGGTGGCGGCGCCTGCCCCCAACACACCTGAAGGTGATGAAGTTGGTGTAGATGAGGGCTGGGCAGAGGAAGGCACACAGCAGCCGCAGGATGGGCGTGCCCGACGCCATGTCCCCCCACCAGATCTTGGTCAGGAAAGCCTGAAACGAAGGCACCGCCACTGGCCTCCCACCCCACACCTTGGCCCATGCTGTGCCCAGCACCAGGTGCGCCCTCCCAGGCTCCGCCAAAGCCTCGCCCTGCACCCTGGGGGCCAGACTCTTCATGGGGTGAGGAGAGACCAGCTTTAGGGGTGCGGGAGAGCCACACGGAGGAGGTGGCCCCTCTGCTGAGACCCACAGCGGACAAAGGGCCAGCCCGGGGCAGCGAGAAGGAAGCCAGGCAGGTGCCTTCTAGGAACAGGGCCGCCTGTCCTGCGCCCCTGGCCCGTGACCAGGACTTGGGGAGCGGAGGCGGGCGAGGCCATTCCCCCAAAGCCAGGCGCTCACCTGCACCCCGTCATGGGCGAAGAAGGCCTTGGTGTCGGCCTCGGTGGCCAGGTGCAGACAGGTGGCCCTGCTCCAGCCGCGGTTTCTGCGCACCAGCAGGGCAAATGCGCGGTCCTCGCTATTGCCGTAGCACTCGGAGAAGAGGCCTGCGCAGGGACACCGGCCACTGGCCGCCGCGCTCCTCCTCCTGGGCCCCTAGCTGCGTCCACCTCCCCACAGGGACTCTGACTGTGCCCACCTGCCCTGCCCTTCCCTCCCCCGTCGTCACCCCACGTGCCCTGACCAAGTGGCTGCAGGACCCAGGGTGTGCCCAAGGCCACCACTGAGGACCCACCTGTCCCTCTGTGAGAATGAACGTTAGGGTCCACCTCCCCACTAAGAGGAGGCTCTGAGGTGGCCCTGGGCCCCCACCTCGTGCGCCCCCCGTCCCGTGCGTGCCCCCTGCACACCGGGTGTGTCGCTGACCGCCGGGCCGGTGCTCACCCAGGGCTAGCTGCTCGTACTTGGCCTCCCTCACCGGGCGGCGCACCCCCGCCCCGGTCTCCAGGTGCGACATCTCTCTGAGGATCTTGCAGGCGGCCAGAGCAGCGGCCACCCCCTCCTGGCCCTAGGGGACAGGGTGTGAGGAGGCTGGTATCCCCTCCCCCACCCCCCAGGAGCCCGGGGCCAACCCACCATGGCCCAGAAGTAGGTGGCCATCTCGTGGCGGTTCTGCAGCACGGCCCAGAGGAACAGGTCCCGCCAGGGGTTCTCGCTCTTCCGGTTCAGATCCAGCAGCCACTTCCGGCCCTCGGGCCGCCTGGCCGGTCCCCGCTCCTGGAGGACAGGCCGGTCAGCCTCCTGGGGACCCCTCCCGGCCCTCCCGGCCACCGGCCCTCCCGGCCACCGGCCCGCGCACCTCCTGGTAGAGCCCGCGACAGGCGTCGTGCAGGAAGTCCTTGAGCAGGCGGGAGACCTCGTGCAGGGAGAAGGCGGGCAGGCCCGTGGGCGGCTCGCGGGCCTGCTGGGCGCCCAGGCCGGCCAGGGTCAGCCGGCCCTCCTCGTGCTTGCGCTGCAGCAGGTCGAACAGCAGGCTCTTGGGGGGCGTGGAGCGGTACAGCTGCTGCAGCCGCCCGTAGGTCAGGAAGTCCCCCACGTCGGCGCCGTTGTCCACGAAGAGACGCACGAACTCGGGCTTGTCACTCACCAGCGCGTCCGTCATCACCTCCTCCAGGTCACAGGACTGGGGCCGTCACGGGACATGCCCGGGGGCGGGGCAGAGACGGGCGGAGTGAGTGGGAGCCCGTGTGCAGGGAGCCCCCCGCTCCAGCACCCCAGCCTGTCCCTCTGAGCCAGCTCCAGGCCACCAGGGGCCGCGAGTCGCGGGGCATCCGGCAGGCCCGTCCTCCCTGGGGGCCATGCGCGGGGAGCCCCAGCAGGTGCCCTGGCCTCCCCGCCCCACCCCCGGGGCCACAGCGGGCAGGAAGGAACCTGCCAGGAGCCCTAGGGAACACCGTCTGCCCCCAGCCCTCCACACGGTCCCTGCCCTGGGTCGGCCAGAAACGAGGCTCAGGAGGCATCGGCTGGCCGGCGGGCGGGCACCTTCCACTCCACGTCCCCATTGAAGATCTCACTCCTGGCGATGTCCACGCGGTCCCAGGCCACGGCCAGCTTGAGCTCGTCCAGGTAGTCCTGCGCCTCCTGGCTGTGGCTCTTGCAGGCTTGGACAGAGTGGGCAGGGGATGAGGGGCGAACCTAGGGGTCCCCAGAGCTCATGCAGACAGGGCCCCCCGCAGCGGTCTTCTGGACACAGAGTCCAGGCACCACGGCCTGCTCCACACCCTCTGATTAGTGGTGAGAGGCCCCCAGTGTCACCAGACCCCCAGGAGCCCTGGCAGAAACGCTGGGCCCCGGGACCCCGAAGGGACGGGTGAGCGGAGCAGGAGGGAGCGGACGGCCCGACCAGAGGAGCTCCCCCTCTCCCCCTCTCTCCCTCCAGCGCATCCCGGCCCCAAACTGCCCCTCGGGGCCCGGTTCTCTGTCTGGCTTCCTCAAGGTCCATCCCTTGGCACAGCTGGTCTCTAATACGAGAAGCATATTGAGTGACAGCCAGACGGTGACAGCCCAGCGCCGTCGATTGAGGAACAGAAAAACACATGCGGTCCCTGTGCGCAGTGGGAGATCCCTCAGCCTTAAGAAGCAGTGAGGCGTCCACACGTGCCGTGACGTGGGTGAGCCTCAAACACGGGGCTGGGAGACGGGAGCCCACGGCGCACCGCAGCCCACTGATGGGAAGGGCCCCAGCCGGGCACACCCTCACGGGCGGAACAAAGCCGGCGCGTGCCAGGGCCCAGGGAGGCAGGGCGCGTCCACGGTTGCTGGCTTGCTCTGGGGACAGGGATGTCCCGGAATTAGACCATGGGGACAGCTAATTCGCAAATGGACCAGAAGCCCCTGGACTGACATTTTAAATAGTTTCTTAAATGACAGTAGAACACGGCAGACATAAAACCTGCCAAACACAGGCCCGTTTACGGATCTGCGTGTCATCTCTGCGTCATTCCAGTTCTGTTACACGTCCTGCTGGAGACGGGAGCGCCGGGCCGCACACACGCACACACGGCAGAGCGACGCCGTCGCAGGCGTCCCGGCCGCTGACATCCCAGCTGGGCGGTGGCCCCGCAGGGTGAGAGCCACGATGGGACGGGGTGTGGGAAGCAGCCCCGCGCCAGGCGCAGAGCCCGGGGCCGTGGGACACAGCGGCGGTCACCCCACACCCGCCCAGGGCTCTCACCTTTCACCAGCGCTTTAAGGATGACAGTGTCCAGCTCCTCGGTGCCCTCCTGCTCGAAGTCGTGCACGGTGAGCAGATGCGGGTGGGAGGTGATGTTCTGCAGCTGGGACACCAGGACAAGGGCCCTGAGGTAGCCCTGGGGGCGGGGACACGCCGGTGGACAGGCACAGACTGGGTACTCGGCATGTGAGGCGGGTCTCAGTGAGCAAGCCAGCAGCTGCCCGGGGCATGGGGGTGGCCTCACCCCAGCCCAGGGGGCCCACTCCAAGCTCCCTTGCTCCAGGGCCTGAGGCTGGGCCAGCTGGGAGGCCTTGTGGGGAGAGGGAGGACGCCGGGGCCTTGCGCATGGGGCGGGGGCACAGAGGCACCAGGAGGAGTTCGTCCCAGCTCTGCCATGCCCGGGAGAAGGGGATGGGGTGGGGGGGGGGGGGGGGGGGGGGGGCTCGGCCTTTGGATCCCACCGTCCCTGGGAGGCTCCTACCAGCTCGGTCCAGTGTACGATGTCCTCCCAGCAGAAATGTTCACCCGGAAACTTCTCTTTAAATTGTTTCTCGGCCACCTGGGGCACCAGGAGGTGGGGCTGGTTCATCAAGGCAGCCAGCACGTCCGCGATGCCTCCTGAGCCTGCCAGGACCAGCCACGGGGCAGCGTGCTCCACGGCCCTGGAGATCCTCTGGGGCAGCAAGGTGGGGAGAGCAGACCCCACGTCAGCCTGGGCGCCCTTCTTGGCCCGTGTGCCAGATGTGCCCTGTCCCATGCCGGACGGGGTCCTGCCGGCAGCCACGGCCAGCCAGGGGGGCTCCCGCTGGGCCCTCGCTGGGCCCCCGCCTCCTTCCCTGGCCCTACCTCCAGGGTGCTGGGGTCACCATTGACCAGCAGACAGAGGACGGGGATCTCGATGCTGCCAGTGCCTGCGGACAGAGCACCCGTGAGGTCCGCCCTGGTGCCCAAGCAAGTGGTGGGGGTGGGGCACCCCCCTGCGGGGCAGCCACATGCTCAGACCACCAACCCCCTACATTTTCTGAGCAAACGCCGGCCCAGAGGCTGTTTCTAGCAAAGTGTGGGTTCCGGGTTGCATACCGTACACACCAGTCCCTCCGCCTGGGGACCACTATGGCCTCTCATGGCCATTTCCACAAAAAGGAGCGTCTGTGAAGTCAGAAGTTCAGTCCCCGCCTGCACTGGCCACAGTTATGTGCCCAGCATCTATCCCCATCGCGGTAGCAAGCTCTCCCGCCGCTCTGCACACCCTTGGAGGCCCCAGAAGCAAACCAAAGAGGTAAAGGAGGGGCCTCGGCCGGTTTCGTCCCCAGACATAAACCAGAAATGAGGTTTTGGCGTGTGAGGCCAGCTGGTGCTGGGCCGGCTGCAGCCACCAGGCGCCCTGAGCTGCCTCCAGATGGAAGCTGGAGGCCCGGTTGGGGGATGTGGGCCCTGCAGACTTCAGCGCACCGGAGCCCCGCGCCACCTCCGTGGTTTCAGCATGGCTGGGGCTGCCACGAGCACTGCGCTAGTGCACACTCCACGTTGCTTACGATCGTAAGCAAACACGGGGGCTGCGGGGACCGTAAATCCCTTTCACACCCGACTAGCGGCGCCGGCGCTCAGGTAACACCGCCCTCTGGTGGCAGCGTACCTCGGGGCCGGTGGAGGGAAACGGGCCTCTCAAACCCACAGATCCGTTTTCCTCCCAAAGCCCGGAGCCCACAGAAAGAGCCTCCGGCCGGCCGGCCGCCCGCACAAGTGCTCCGCCGCCACGTCGGGGGGTCGCTGCCGGACAGCTCCGCCCCTCATGCGCAGGCTTCCCCTCCCGGAAGGCCACACCGGTCTCCACACCGGTCTCCACACCTGGCCGCGGCGCCTTCGGCCTGGAAGCCCCGCCTGCCCACCTGGTTGTCCCTCCGGCCCCGCCCACGCGCTGTGCCCCCGCGGCGGGCCTCACCCCCATAGCCGGTCCTCTGCTCCGAAATGTGCTTCTCCAGCTTGAGCCTCAGCTCCATCAGCTCGTCCCCCGTCCCGCTCGGCCCCGGCTCCACCAGGATGAAGTGCGCCTGGTTGTTGTCCAGGGAGCAGAGGGGGCCCCGGCCGCTGCCCTCGTCCGCGGGGTAGTGGACAGGGCTGTGCTCCTGGACCCGCAGCCCCGCACACGGCATGAGGACCGGGCCAGGTCTGCTCTGCTGGGACCTGCTCCCACCCCAGCCAGGGGGCGGGCCGCGCGGCTGGTGCCCGGGGTGGTGGTTGGGGGGGTGCGGGCAGGGAATGGGTCCTCCAGGTGGAACCAGGGTGGGACAAAACTCCCCTCACTCCCCGGCCCTGCCTTAGACAGACCCTGGGCTGGGAGCCAAGGCTGCTCGCCCCGGGGTTGCCCAGACTTGCCGGTGACTGTCTGGGCCTCGGTCCTGGTCCTGGCAGAGGGTGGGTCTGCGCTGGCTGGGGGCCTGGTGGACCCCTCCCCACGCTATTCCCTATCCGATGCTGCCACCTGCTGGCCGTGTGCACGGCACCCCCTCCCCTCCCCTCCTCCCTCCCTCTTCCTCCTCTGCCCTCCTCTTCTTTCCTCCCCTTTACCTCCTCCCTTCTCCTCCCTCCTCCCCTTCCTCTTCCTCCCCTCCCCTACTCTGCTTCCTCTCCCTCCCATCCCCATCTCCTCCCCACCTCCCCCCTCCTTCCCTTTCCTTTCCCTCTTCCTCCCCCTCTCCTTCTCCCCTCCGTCTCCCTCCCTTCCCTCTTCCCTCTCCCTGCTCCCCTCCCACAGCTTCCCCTCAGTGTCCCAAGCCTTCAGGGTGCCTGCCCCACCCCCAGAGACCTTGAGGGCAAAGGCTACTCTGTCCACGGCAGGCCTGGTACACTGAGGGCCTCAGGAGATGTTTTCCAAATAACCAACGGGCAGCGGATGGGGGTACTTGGTCAGCCTTCGAGACTGCACGGGTGGCTTCCGAGACAGACATCCCTCCCACTGGGGCAGGGGATACTCGGGGGCATGGGCTCCTCCCTGCCTCCCAGGTCCACCTTGCCCAGCCGTCCCGATGTTCCAAGACAGACGCTCACCTGGGCATTGTCCAGAAGCTGACGATGCAGGACGCGGCCCAGCGAGGCAAGGCCAATGGCCACCACGCGGGCCCGCGTGGACGTGCTGGCCAGCGAGTGGTCACGCACGGCCTGTCCAACGTACCGGGCAAGGCCCACGCGAAGCGCGCTGGTCAGGATCCAGGCCCCTGCGGCATGCGGCTCAGTGTGCCCACGGCCCCCAGGTCGTGCCCCGCCAGCAGGCAGGCCCACGTCCCCAGACCCGTGGGAGCCGTGTGGGACCGGGCCCCTGGAGGCTCCCTGAACAGCAGGCCATGGCTCTGCCCTGTGGCCTGTGTGGGGGATCAGAGCCTGTAGGATTTCTCCAAATTAGGAAGCGCTCGGCCCGGTGGGGTCTGTCAGCCTCTGCGCGGCGAGGGAGCTCGGAAACCCCCCCGGACCTTGTGCGGGGTCTCCGCAGGCTCAGGTGGCCTGAGCAGGAAGCCCGATAAGCTGGTTCTGACCCAGTCCAGCCAGACTGCCCCCCGAGGGAGGCGGAGAGGGTGGTGGGGGCCCACCCGCAGGCACGGGGTCCCACTGCCATCCCTGAGGGTGTCTCGCCGAGGCCCACAGGGTGCCCCTGCAGCTCCTGGGGGAGGCCCGGCCCCGGGGGGACCTCAGCCGCTGCCCTCCTCCTGAGGAGCTGCTCTCACCTCGGCCGCACAGAGGAAGCCACGTGGGCCGTGGGCTGTGGCGCTCCCCGCTCAGGGCCTCTGGGGGAGCCTCACCTGTGCTCTGGGCCGCCTTCACCAGCCCCTTGCGCAGGACATCCCGCAGCCAGGGCTTCATGGCGAACGGATGCTCCTCACCCACCAGGGACACCACGAGGTTGGGGGCAGGCAGGTGCCACTCGGCCAGCAGGACGTTGAAGAGCTCGGAGGGGGCCACATCGCTGGGCACCTTCACGAACTGCGGGGCGGGATGACCACAGCCTCAGGGTGCTGGGTGGGGATGCGGGACCTGGGGGCAGTGGGCGCAGGGACAGGGCACGGGGTGCTGCGCACTGGGTATGCGGGCATGAGACACTGGGGGCACTATGGTACTGGGCATGGGGGTGCTGGGCAAGGGGCACTGGGTCCTGGGGTGCTGTGCATGGGGGCACTGGGTACTGGGGCACTGGCTTTGGGGTGCTGGGCACAAGGGCACTGGGTGTGGGGGTGCTGGGCACTCGGGCGCTGGGGGCACAGGCACAGGGGACATGTGGGTGCTGGCCCTGAGGAGAGAGGCTGACACCCTTTAGGGCAGGGTAGCTGTAGGAAGCCAGGGCTCAGCTGGGTCCTGCCTTGACCAGCCCGTGCCCCAGGCAGCACGGACCGTCCGGGCCTTGCTTCCTTCTCCGTGGGGGGTGGAAGTGTGGAGAGAGGAGGGGTCCTGGATGTGCTGTGCGTGTGGGTGTGGGAGACGGGGGCCAGAGGTCACGGGCAGCTCTGCACTCTGCCTCCCCTGGGGGCTCTGAACCCAGCCCTGAGAGCTAGCGGGCCCTGAGCGGCCCGGGGCGCTCCGTGTTCAGGGGAGGCGCTGGGAGCTCAGGGGTGGCAACAAGCACTCGGTGGTCTGGTCGGGCCCCCAAGGCGTGAGGGCGCAGCGTCGGTGTGTGCAGGACGGCAGCCCCTTACCTTGCCTCGCTTCTTCCCAGACCCTCCAAATTCGATCTCGCCCCGGCACAGGCCAGACCCCGAGCCTGACGCAACCATCCTGGGGCCCCAGGGACAGCTGCCCCCGGCCTCCGGCATGAGGACCGCTCTGCAGGGAGAGAACCAGCCCATGAGGGCAGGAGAGGCAAACCGTGCCCCCCTCTGCCCGGCTCCCGTGACGGCAGAGATCAGGAGCCACAGCCGTCTCGGCTTCAGGGCCCTCCCCAGCCGCCAGCCTGGCCTAGAACCCCACCGTGGCGTTCACAAGGCCTTTCACGCTCTGGCTTCAGTTGCAGGAGACTCCCACACCCCACCCCTTCCCAGAAGACAAGGGGACGCATCCTGGCCCCTCTCCCTGGCTCCCCAGCCTGCTACTCACCCCGCCCTGGGGCGCCTCAGGCTGCAGTGGCTTCGGTGGGGGGCGTCCTAGAAACCCAGAACGTCGTATGGGCTTCTGGACACGCGGCCCACCCACCCCACACCCGCACCGGCCCCAGGTTGGGGATGGACATCTTGGCTGTGCCTGGGCAGGTTGGGGGGCTGGCTGGTAAGGTTGGCTGGTGCCCACAGCTCAGGAGCAGAGGCCTGAGGGGGGCCCGGGGAAGACTGTGTGGATGTGGGGGAGGGACAGACCACCGTCCTCGCCTGGAGGTCCGGAGGGGAAGGCACCCTGCCCCGGGATCTTCCCACCCAGTTCCTGCCCTGCCCCTGGCCCGCAGCCAGGCTCCGTGCCCAGCGCTGCTCCTCGGACGCTCTCCGGCAGCTCACCGGGCACACGGGGCTGGGGCCCCACGACCGGCCCAGGTGGCAAGGAACTGGCTCCCAAGGGGCCTGCCTGGCTGGGGCACCCCCAGGTCTCCCTGACCCTCCAGCCCCCACCTCCCAGCCACCTGGCTCCAGCCGGTTTTCTCAGCCGATTTGGGGTGGGGGTAAACCTGCAGAACAGGGGTCTCCCCAAAGCTCAGGGGCCCCGCGTTCTGGGACAACCAAGCAGCCTTGCCCCCCCACCCCCACCCCCTGTGAAGCCCGGTCTCCCCACCATCTCGGCTGCCCAGCCACGGTTCCAGACCCCCTCCCTCTGAGCCAGTTTCCCAGCTTCTCTGGGGTGCCCGCTGCCCCCCGCCCCGGACACGTCCTTCGGTGAAACCCCTTCCCATGGCAGCTCCCCCATCGGCCCACCCTGTGTTTGTTAGAGAGGGGCCGCCTGTGTTCACGGGCGGGAGTGCGACCCTGCCTGCACGACAGGGACCTGCACCCCCACGGCCAACCCCGCTGGGCCCCCAGACAGACACACCCAAGTCCCAGCTCCCGGCACCTGTGGATGGGGCGTCCCGTGGAATGAGTCGAGGTCGTTGGGGCGGCTCCTAACCCAGGCACCGGTGTCCTCGCAGGGAAGGGATAGAAGCCCACGTGACCTCACAGGCAGAGGCCGGGGCAATGTGCCCCCAAGCCCAGGACCGCTTGGAGCCCCGGAAGCTGGGAGAGGAGAGGCAGGACCCCCAGCCGCTCCTTGCAGAGCTTGCGGCCCTGGGAGGTGACGCACAGTGCTGGGTCCTGTGTGAAGCCGTCCGGGACACTCCTGCAGCCACCAGCCCAGAGGGCCGAGGAACTGAGGTGGACAGGCTTGCTAGTGCCCCCCCGGACCCCCCACAGACCCAGGCCAGGGTGAGCTCCCCCCAAGCTCTCCTGCATCCAGACCTGGCTCCCGGGTGGAATGCAAATCCTCCTGGCTTCCCGCTCCCTGAGCAGGAAACTGGGCGGGATTTGAATGTGGCTTTTCCAAGCTGGTGACTATTTACCAGGAGGTGGGGACCTGGACAAGGCCTGGGTGTGTCTGGGAAGTGACAAGGCCCGGGCCGGGGCCCATGGGAGGGGGTACAGGGCATATCCAACAAAGTCCTGCAAATAGGGTGGCTCAGAGCCCTTGGATTCTGGCTCCAGAAGTCCCGCATCAAGGTGTCACGGGCCCCTCCCCGCCCCCTCTGGCTCCTGGGGGTTCCAGGTGTCCCTGGGCAGTGGTCCCCGGGCCCCAGTGTCTGTTTCCATCCTTCCGTGGCCTTTCCCGTGTCTCTCTGTCCAAACGTTCCTCATCTCATGGGGACACTGGTCAATGGATAGGGACCCACTGTCCCCACTCTGACCTCATCTTAAGCAGTGACGCCTGTGAAGACCGCATCCCCCTGATCGGTCCCATTCTGAGGTTCTGGGGGACATTCCTCTACCTACGGTACAGGTGGCAAGGTGGGGAGAGTGTGTGGCTCGCTGGGGGCCGGGGGGCCAGGACAGGGACCACGGGGCTGCTGTCTGGGACCAGCCCTCCCTCCCTCCCGCCTGCCCAGGACCTGTCAGGCCAGCTGCCTAGTCTGGTCACTTCTGGCCACATCTGGACATGCGTGCTGCAAGCAGGAGGCATACAGTGGGATGTGGGGGCGCTGGGGGTTTGGGGCCTGGGGCCCAGTCCTCAGGCTGGCTGGGCGGGGGAGGGGGCCTGGAAGGGATGGCAGGGGGTGGCCGCTGGCCTTCCTCATCTGACTCTGGGCCTCTGGCCTCACTAATGGGACATGGGGTTCCAAGCAGAATTGGGGAGCGCCAACCTCATCATCCAACAGCCACCCCTCACCCCCCCATCCAGCCTGGGGACAGGGTGGGGGGAGCATTTGGGCGTGGTGCCAGGCACTGGGGGTGCTGGTGGTGGCACGTTGCCCGAGGCCAGGCAAATGGGCCCGGTGGGCAGGGCATGCAAATAGGATTTGCATGAGCAGGTTTCTGGGGCTTCAATGCCCCCCTTGTTCCTGGGGTGGGGGCGAGTCAAGGAAGCCGCGGGTGGGATCCTGTCTAACCCCTGGTTGGAATCCTCTCCCACACATCCTGATCCGGGAAATGGAGGCAAAATCTCCAGTCCTGTCCGCAAAAGTAGTGGGGGCTCTCGCGTGGGGGGCGAACAGCCACCGCTTTCCAGAGGCCGTCAGGGAAACGGCCCCAGGGTGGACGCGGCCAGGCAGCTGGGCCCCAGGAGTCTTGCTCCAGCTCCTCCCCACGCTGTGTGACCTCGGGCAGGCCCCTCAGCCTCTCTGGGCCCTTCTCTTCCTCCATGAGATGCAGGGGGAGAGCAGCAGGGAGAAGGCCCCAACCAGTCCCACACCAGGCTCTGCAGGCCAGAGGGCAGCACCGTGGCCCCTGTCCCCGCGTGAGGATGCAGGTCTCGCTGGGACAGGCGTGGAGGGCGCGGAGCTGGGAGAGGGCAGTGCGGGTGGGTTTCCCCACCCGGAAAGGGCCTGCCTTGGAGGCCCCCCCCCCCACTCTCCTGGTGGTTTGGGCAGACCAGGACCCCGGGCCTTGGAGCCATCCCTCCTCCCTAGACTCGCCCCGAGTGCTGGCTGTGGGCCGGGGGCAGAGGGGCCTCCCCTTCCCAAAGGCCCTGCCTCACCCACAGAGAGGCTGTCCCGCCACCGCCCGGGGAAGGCGGGGTTCCCTCCAGACCCAGTGACTAAAACAGGAGTCAAGGAGGTGGCCAGAGCCCGTCCCCTCCCACAGCACCCACCGCCCCACCTGGGAGCAGGGGACCCCCTCCTCCGGCTCCCACCTGGAGGCTGGCAGTCCGGGGCACCTACCTGCTGTCCCTGTTCCCGGCGCCCTGACATGCGGCTGCTGCCAGCGAGCAGAGTGAGGGTAGCCCAGCCCAGCACACGGGACACCTGCCCGCCAGCTCCCTGCTCCTCCCCTCCCTGCCCTGCAGCCCTGGCACCTGGGCAGCCAATGCCATGACCAGTACGGGCACCACCTGATCAGGGCACAGCAGACCCACAGGCCTGCTGTTCCCAAAGCCGCTGGCTCAGAGGACCAGCCTCTCTGGCCTCTGGGTTCCCACAGGGGCTTCTCGTAGGGGCCGCCTCACTGGCTGTCACCCGCTCCACGTGTGGCCCAGGGCTGGGTCCGGCCAAGCCACACTGACGTCCCTCAGTTTCTCTCTCTAGCCAGCAGGAACGGCTGACCCTGGGGCGCGGGATCCTAGAGGCGACCCCCGTTGAGCATTCTCATGCAGGCCAGGCGGGGTGTGTGGGGTGCCGTCGGGAACCCCGGAACCCAGGGCTCACGCCCTGAGCATCCTTCAGCTCTTGAACCACTCTGGGCCTCAGTTTCTCTGAAAAGCGGGTCCCCGAATAGTCCAGCTTCTGGAACCGCTGGGTCACACCTGGCCACAGAGCCCCGATGACCCCTCTGTCTCCCCCAGGATCCATCTGGAGCTCAGGGAGGACTGGGGGACGGCCTCAGGCCTGCCCTCTGGGACCCCTACGGCCACCAGAGGGCGCCCCAGGACTGCGAGCATGTCAGGACGGCGGAGGTGGTCTGGGTGGCAGAAGCCAGCTTTGCCCTTGGACGGGAGGGCTCGGACCAGTGCCTGTGGTGCAGCCCGTAGCTTTGCCGGGAGCCCACCCAGCGGGTAGAGGGGTTTTCTGAGACCACTTAGGAAATAAGGGGACCCGGGCATGTGGAACCCACAAGCCCTCGGGGCCTCAGGGCCCATGGACCAGACTCTGAACAGGCCATGTGCAGAGGGCCAGATCGCAGCCCTGGTAAGGCGGGCAGCTGGGGGCTCTGCAGGGCCAGTCCCCACCTCTGAAGGACCAGCCTGGGCTCACACACCCCACCCCTGCAGCCTGGAGAACCCTGCAGGTGTCAGGGAGGGTGCAGAGTGAGGGGGTCTCCCCAGACTCTCCAGCCTGTGGGGCCCCTTCCTCCGTTCCTGTCCTGCCCCTCTGTCTCTGCCGCCCCAGCCACCCCCAGCCCAGTACCAGCCCGTGCTTCTCTCCTGCCGACAACCCTCATGGCTCCCTATTGTCGCACAGAACACAAACCAGCCCGTGGCCCCTGTCCTCCCCTGGCCATCGCCTACCTCCCTCTCTCCAGGCGTCTGGACTCCCCTTTGCTCCCTTGTCCCCACCTCCCTTCTGCTGTCCCCCTGCTCCTCCACACGCCCCCCCTCCCAGCACAGGGGTCTACTGGGTCTCTCTCCCTCGATTCCAGGTGGCATTCTCTGGGAACCTGGCCCTCTGGAGTGACTTTCCATGTACTTGTTTGCTGCCCGTCTGCTTCCTGCTCGAAGCTGTGGGCCCTTGAGGCCGCTGGTGCCTCCTGGGCTCAGACCACAGCTGCTGGGGGACCGAGCAAGTGTGCAGGGGTGTGTGTCTGTGTTTGAGCCACTGGGGGCAGATGGGACAAACTCAGCGGGGCCGGGGGTGCATCCAGACCAGCCTCCCTCACTTTGTGCAGTTGGCCGGGGGGCCGGCACCACACGCGATGGACGGGACTGGTCTCACGTGACCTTTTGGGAGTGGTCACATGGGCAGAGAGCGGGACCAGCATCCCCAGGTCACTGTCCCTCTATGGTGGGGGGGA